TTTTTTTAATTTTTAAATAACTTGAAACAATTTTTGAGTAAAATACCATCCTCCTTCCCAAGTTTAAGGTTGTTTGCAATTCAAACACAAAGATATCCTTTCAGCAGTATTGTATAAACATACTACTTTGCTTAGTCTCCTACCAAAAAAAGAAAAAAAATCATGATGAAGTAGCACTTTGTTGCATAATTCAAAAATTATGCTGAACAATATATAGATACTGTGTCAATTGTTGCGTACTTGAGTTGACAAAACTTTTCCCCTCAAGGAAAAAATCCACAAGGAACACAACAATGGAAAATGGTGCCTATAAGAATTGCTACGGACGCTGCAGTATTTTGGGGCCATGTTTAAAAAATGAAAGCCCGGTTTGATTTTTTCCCTAACCAGCAGTGACATTTACTCATACTCAGGCGGGTGACCTTATTATCTTATTTTCAGGAAAGACTAATACACTGACAGCTAGACCCTCGGAGAGGCCCCCGACCTACCAAACACCCGTAACGCTAGAGTCTGGGTGCCAGGGGTGGGGACTGGGGATTTGAATAGAAATTTTTTGTTTTGCATAGTGAGCGCCCAATAAGGAGCCTACATTTGCCGAGGACCTGCTAGATCCTAGGACTCTTGAGTTAGGTACTCGTGCAGTTCCTATTTAAAACAGGAGGGCCGGCCAAGTGACACGATGGTTAAGAACTGGCTTGGGATGCTAGAGGGCCCCCGGTTCGGATCCCACATATGAGGGCCAGTGACACTGCCCTCCATAGCTAAGATGCTGAACAACAGCTCGACCTGGAGCTGGGCTGCCGTGAGTCACCTGCGAGTCGCCTGCAACGGTGTAGGCTGCAGCCCCTGTGGCAGTGGGTTGCCATGGGCTACCGTGTGTAGCCAGCAGCCAGCAGCCGCTGTGAGCAGCCGTCTAGAAGCCGGCGACTGATCTGCCTCGCCAGGGAAGAGGGCAATGTTGGTGCCAACTTGGGCCAGTGAAGCAACATCCTCCACAACTAGACTTAAGAACAAAACGACAGTAACTTATCTGTTCCCCTTCCCCCAATTCCCCAGCGCTGTTCCCATCCCCCCAATTCCCCAATTAAAAAAAAAATCTTAAAAAAAAAAAATAAGAGGAAACAGGGTTGAGCATTAACCCCAAAGCCACCCACAACTCCGGGTGCCATGAGGATAAGAGCCCACACGGATGCTAAAAACTCGATTAATACAGAAAGACTGGGAGTAGAAAAGCATGAGAGGGAGAAGCAGAAAAGAGTGGCTTTGTTTGCTCTTAATAATCAGAGACTAGCAGAATGGCACTGGCTACCAGGGTTGCCTCTAGACTGGCCACACCCTCTAACCAAGCACTGGACTTCTTAAAAATTAAGGAGAAAAGTAAGGGAACTGTTAGCATTTATGCTTGCTCCAATGATAATTCTAGCCCTCATTTACTGAGCATTTACTGTGTGTAAGGCAGTGTCCTAACAGCTTTTTGTGTATGCATTTATTTCAACAACGCTGCAAGTACTAACACCACCACTTAAATGAGAAAATTAAGGCACAAAGGTTAACATGCCCAAAGCAGACAATTAGTAAGTGGAAGAATCAGGACTTGAACCCCAGTGATCCAGCTCCAGTTGGTGCTATTAACCACTACTTCCCGTCAAAGAAAAAATTAGCAGAGTAGTGTTTAAATTCCACAGCTCCAAGTATAATTCCAAGATGACTCCCTTTTTCTTCATTTACAAATAAGATTCTTTACTATCCTAGGAAAGCTGGGGATGCTTGTATACCAACTACGTTTTAATAAAAAAGTTTAAAAAGTATATGGGATGGGCAAAAAAGAAAAAGAATGCCAACTTGACATATAAAGGTTAACATACTCATTTTCCTTCTACCCAGTATCTTCATTTTGACTTATTTTAAAACAAACTAAAAAAGAAAAAAAATGAAACCAACTCATTTTAAAAATTTTAAAGAAACATAACTTGTATTGAATAATTCCAACTGACTTGTTTTTACTGAACCCCATTATACAGCACTGATGGTAAGAGAGATGGCCATGCTTTTCCTGCTAATCAAGTTTATACCCTACTTGACTTAATACATCCCAAGAGCTTGTCTTACTCTGGATTCGGCTCTTCTGCTGTCCTCATGTTATCCCCTGGTTCATTTTCACAATCAACCCCAAGTAGCCTATGGTGCACTAAGGGGTCTATGAATAAAAAAAGCCCATCTCAGCCTGGAAGTTCATCCTAACAAAAGGTAAATTGGTTCTTCTAGACTTTTGCTAAGAAGGCCACAATTCAAATTTACAAAATGTGCCTGAGATTAAAGAAGGTTAAGAAGTACTACCCCAGTGATTCCTGCTATATATTCATTTGAAGAGCTACTATTCAAACCACAGGCTCTTGGCTTGGTCTCCATTACCCCTACTTTCTATGAAATACTCAGAGAAAACACAACAAAACTCAAATCTTTTTAGGTCAAGTTCAGCCTACTATAATGATATTTGGCACCACCCAGTGGCACTCTTGTACATGTGAATAAATAGCAACTTAGCAAACTCTTGTATCGAAAGAATACCTCAAAAGAATAATGTTGCAAATCAAACCAAAGCGGTTTCATCTTTTAAAAGTTATCTACCGTATTTGCCGGCGTATAAGACGACGGCGTATAAGACCCCCCCCTAACATTTCCACTCAAAATACAGTTTGTTATATACTCGCCGTATAAGACTAGCCCCTCTTCCGCACACCTTCCACACACCAAATAAAAGGTAAAACAATATCAGATTTGATTTGGCCCACTGAAGTGCAAACAAG